AGTCAGTGATGGTCTTTATATACAGTCAGTGATCATCTGTATATACAGTCAGTGATGGTCTTTATATACAGTCAGTGATGGTCTTTATATACAGTCAGTGATGGTCTTTATATACAGTTACTGATTTACATTATGGGTAGAATATACAATACAATTTGGGAATATTTTTAACTAAGCTTAGATTAAACATCTGTTTGACCTTTGGTGACTCTGCAGATTCACTGTTTACTAAACCGTCTAGAAATGAAAAAACAGATCAAATAAACTGAACGCAGCTCAGTGATTTCAGACTCGGTGAATGATGCAGGTGAGTGTCATCGTACCGTTGCTGATCTCCGGCAGGTCAAACTTGGTGAAGTCCCACCACTGCAGACGGTAGGTGGTGTTTGCGATGTTGCTGGCGACCGCAGACTGTCCGTCACCGATCGATGCTCCTGAGAAAACAACAGGGTCAGCTCAACTTCAGAGTTGAACATTTCCTCTGTTTGTCTGGCAGCTGTTGTGTTGCGCTTACCTGCGAGTACTCTGTTGACGGACGAGTGTGTGGCCAGACCGGGCTGCCCTCTCTCGTGGAAGATCCCAGCATAGGGCAGATACTCAGGGAGGAGGAAACGCCTACAGCAGAATGGTTAAAACAGCACTGATAAAAAATCAAACCTGAGCTGAAATCAATAAGTTGACCCTTGCTTCCTATTCACTTCCAATGTGTGCGAGAGTGAGTGGGAAAGTAAACATTAACTTCCTGTTGTTAAGCAAATCTGCAGCGTGGCTAGCTTAAACTGAAATTTGACCCACAACACCACATCGTGTTGTTTGCGCACTTTGGATTCTGTTTGCGCACTTTTGGATTTTATGTTCATGGGCATCCATATGCACCCCCACTACCTCCATAGATTGCGACAGTAGCATTAGAGTGAACCAGAATCTGAGGGATACTCCAGATCCTTGACGAAAGATCTGAAACATATCAAACTAAACTAATAAAAAAAGGAGAGAACAGGTTCTGCAGAAAAAGAGGAGTTTAGAGTTCAGATCAGACCTTCAAGTGGACTCACCGAGGAACAAAGCGACCCAGTGAAGGCGCAGACATCCTCGCATTACGTGGCGTCCTGTGTCTCGCTCTGTCCCCATTATCACTGGAATAAGGAAAATGTTACAGGCTCAGAAAACATTTTTCAAACAAAGAAAACAGAATTAGGGAACAGAATACTGGTTTTGTTGAAAATGAAAAAAAACACAAAGTTCATTCAAATATTCACAAGAATATTAATACTGCAAAGTCAGAGACACTCGTCGCTAACAGCAGCTCATTCCACCGTCGAGGAAACGGATAACAATTGTCCGGACTGTCGCTGTCCCTTTTGGACTTGATGAAATTAATTCAAATTAAATCTTTATACTCTAAATAAATAGAAGCCAATCACTGAATATTTATATTGATCACTCAATTCTGATAGCTTTTTGTGCAGTGCAGCTCTGATACATCCGCCTCATGATGACGGAGCTGTATTTTGACATGAGTTTATCCTAAATGTTTCAATCATTGGTTCTGTCAAACAAAACGACTACAGTATGACACTGAGCTGCTGTGATGATAGAACATCACTTTGCCGAACTTTGTGCTGTGAAAACACTTCTTTCTTCTTTTTCCTCAGACTCGAGTTATTAAAAAGAGATGAAAAATAGTGAAAAGATCCACAGTGAAACCTACTCCAGCTCCTCAAAGTCCATGTCACTGTTGTCCATGGAGCTGGAAGGGTTGCTGGCAGGGCTGTCTGAAGAGGACGACATGGCCCGCAGGCGGTTCTGCTGGTAACGAAGCGAGCGCTGGCGAATACTGTCTCGTCTGGAGAGATACTGGATCATCCTCTGGGCGTAGTAAGCAGCTGGAGAAAGTCTGGCCAGAACAGACAATAACTTCAGGCCCATTCTTTCAACAGCAAACAAGAGTAGTAGTGACCGGCTCGAAAAGTGTCGTTAGAAATCTGACACCATGTGACTTGGAAACTGTTTTCTGACATTAGTGTGACACTGGTTTTTAATCTCGTGTTTGTTATGAAAAGAAAAATCTCCATCTGATGTGTAGTATCCTCTCTTCACTTGACCTCTGACCTTCCATCCCTGCACAGGAAGTGCCGCTTTAATCCACTGAGACGTGTGAGCAGCTCACATTCATTTGAGAGGAAACTCTAAGCTCACTTTAATTAAGCGTGAGCGTTCCTGGCTGGATCGGGGTAAATAAAGTGTGAGCGTTCCTGGCTGGATCGAGCTAAATGAAGTGTGAGCGTACCTGGCTGGATCGAGCTAAATGAAGTSTGAGCGTWCCTGRCTGGATCGAGCTAAATGAAGTSTGAGCGTWCCTGRCTGGATCGAGCTAAATGAAGTGTGAGCGTACCTGRCDKGATCGAGCTAAATGAAGTSTGAGCGTWCCTGRCWKGATCGAGCTAAATGAAGTGTGAGCGTTCCTGACTGGATCGAGCTAAATGAAGTGTGAGCGTACCTGGCTGGATCGGGGTAAATAGGGTGGTCTCTTGATCCTGACATGTCATAGCGAGATAACGATAATAGAGAGGATTCCAAAAGTCGCCTGTATGAGAGAAACAAGTAAAAATGACTGAATACACAAGTCACCATTTGAGGTTAAAGCAGCTGATGGGTGATAAAACCATGATTAAATGCAATGATTTAAATTTCTACATATCAAACAGATATTAAATTATTAACCCACTAACAAAGTGATGACATGGAGACTGTACCTCCTCAGGGAGTCCTCATCTGGGGGGTCAACAGGCATTTCTTGGCTTAAGGCCTCCGGTGGCTCTGCCGATCGTCCAGCAGCCGCCTGCCGGTAAACCCTTTCCCACTGCGCTGTGTCCTGGTTGTACACCAGTCCCACCGTCTGCTCTCCAGGCTGGCTGGAAGATGGGGCTATTGGGAAGGCCACTGTTCCTGCTCCTCCACCTCCAGGGGGTGGCGGATGCTCATTGGGCTCTGGAGGCGCCCTCCTCTCTTGGGTTTGGGCTTCTAGTGTCCTCCTGCTCTCCTCAGGGTGCCATGGGGCTGAAGAGGCAGGGAAGGAGGAGGAGGAAGAGGAGGGCTCCAGAGACGAGGCAGAAGTGGAGGAAGCCTGGCTGGTGCGCTCCCAGCGCTGAGAGTCATGGTTGAAGGTCAGTAGGTTGTGGCAGGCCCGGCAGCGGTTCAGATGGCCGCGGGAGGCCGGGGGAGTAACACTGTTGTCCAGGTTGTGGGAGGCAGGGGGGGGAGGGAGAGGAGGCTGGTAGTGGATGATGGTAGGGGTGGAGGAGGAAGAGGAGGAAGGCCCTGCTCTTTCTGGGTCCATGTTATTATTCAGCAGCTCTTGGCTCTGCTCCTGGCTTCCATCTGTCATGGTGCCCCCTAATGGAGGCTCCAGGTCCTGCATACGGTCAAACTCCATGAAGTAGCGGCTCAAGTTGCACTGCAGCACATTGCGGAAAGAGGCCGTGTTGCTGCGAGAACCATCCCAGAATGGGTGGTGACCGCTGCTTGTACCTGCAGCATCTCGGGCCCCTGGGTCTCCTTGTTGGGGGAAACCCCGTCCCTCAGTGGCAGACGTGTACACGGGGGAGTGAGAGGAACCGTCTTGCTGACGGAGCACTGACAGAAGGCTGATGGAGGACGAAGAGGTTCTGGGGGGCAGCATACCTGGACCAACCCCTCCCTCCCTCATGCTGAGCAGGTTGCGTGTCCAGTCAGGTCCTGGTCTGGAGGTGGAGTGTGGCTCCATGCTGCTCGGTGCAGTGGGATTAAGAGAAGTGCCGGCGCTGTAGTAGACTGATGTAAAGGCTGAGGGTCGTTCAGTGGGTTGTCTGGGCTCTGTGCGAGCTGAAGAGAAAGTGGAAGCAGGGGGAGGCTGGGGGGCATCAGACGATACCCGGGGATCAGAGGGGGTCATAGAGGACCCGTTGGCAGGCAGGGAAGGGTTCCGATTGACTGAGCAGCGACTACACAGACAAACCATGCCCAGGTGCTGAGTGCATCCAGGGAAAGGTGGCCCGCGTTCAGGGCTGGGGTACTGGGGCAGAGGCATGCTGGGTGATTCTGCAACATTGCTCCCATTGTCACCTAGAGGGCGCGGCTGCTCGCCTCCCACCTGAGCCCCAGGGGAGCGAGATGACAAAATGTGGAGGAAGTTGTGAAGTATCGGCGTGCGGCGAACCGGTTGGGTCGGCAGGAAGGAGCGCTGACGGAAGTGAGGCATCTCAACACTGTCCATGGGAACCTCCGAATCCTCCTCATTCTGAAAGGGAGAAATAAACAGCTCCTACAAATAAATAAATCAATATGACATGAAGTATATGAAAAAATGAATGCAGCCATTAATACATTTTTTAAAGCCATTAATACATTTATATTTCTCTTTTAATTTGCTTCTGTTTTTGATTTATCTACTTTCAATTATGAATAAGTTATTTTGTAAACTTTGCTTTTCCCCTATTTATTGTGTGAGTAAATCATGTGTCGATCTATGATCTCTGACGTGAATCAACCAAAAGACAAAAATACATGAAAAATGTAAAGACAAATAAATAGGTTTTGGGAAGTAAAAGTGCAGAGAGTGAATATGGAATCAATTTAAAACTTTAAAAACAGATTGGAAAAATGAAATATTAAATGGGAAAGTAAATAAAAGTGGAATTAAAATAAAGTCAGAAAAATAAAGAAGCCAATTCAAATGGAAAAAACAATTCACATCAAGTTAATTAAAGCCTGCATCTATTTCAACATTCTTTTAATCCATTTAATGGCATATTCATTTATTTAT